CCTCCTGGGTTCAGGCAATTCTTCTGCCTCAGCCTCCTGAGTAGCTGGGACTACAGGCATGCGCCACCATGCCCAGCTAATTTTTTGTAGTTTTAGTAGAGATGGGGTTTCACCGTGTTGACCAGGATGGTCTTGATCTCTTGACCTTGTGATCCACCCGCCTCGGCCTCCCAAAGTGCTGGGATTACAGGCTTGAGCCACCGCGCCCGGCCTAACTTACTCTTTTATGTTCTGTGCCACCTTCAGAGAGCTTAAGTAGCTGCCTCACATCTAACATATTGTTTTTCCGTATGTGTGTATTTGTGTTCCTGCTGGACACTAGAAACTCTTGAAGGACAATTATTTGATATCCAACTACTCCATCTGTTGCTCATTAGCTGCCCTATAAATATTTGCAGAATGACCTTAACAAGATAGGGAATAGTGGTGTGAAAAACAGCTGTTTGCTTAACTTGCTTCTCTCCAAAGGTTTCCCATCTTCATGCCTCAGAATGAGCCTCTTTTTTTTTTTTTTTTTTTTTTGAGATAGTCTCACGCTGTCGTGCAGGCTAGAGTGCAGTGGCGTGATCTTCGCTCACTGCAACCTCCAACTCCCAGGTTCAAGTGATTCTCCGTCCTTGGCCTCCCAAGTAGCTGGGAGTACAGGTGCATACCACTATGCCCTGATAATTTCCATTTTCAATAGATGGCATTTTGCCAGGTTGGCCAGGCTGGTCTCAAACTCCTGACCTCAGGTGATCCACTGACCTCTGCCTCCTAAGTGCTGGGATTACAGGTGTAAGCCACTGCGCCCGGCCCGGCCCTTTTTTGTCTAGTTTTTTGTCCTATCAAAGTAAAGGAGCCTTAGCTCAACCTCACAGAATAAAACAGCTAAGGGAAGATCTCTATGATCTTCTAAGAGTAACACCCTAGGTCCAGGTCAGGGGAAGCAAAGGGAGGGAATCACTACGGCCAGCTAACCTCAAATTTGCTTTTCCCACTGTTCCTTTCCTTTCCTCTTAAACCTGAGTAAAATGAGCTTTGAACCTTCAAATCCCTGTTAAACTGAGTTGCAACCTAGGCAAGAGACCGAACAGTAATTCCCCTCATATTCATTCACTGCTTTTCCTTGTTAAGATAATTGGGTTGCTGAGGAGGAGGACATGAAGCCTTAAGAGTGAAGCTGGAGTGTTGCAAGCTGGAAAATATGCAGCTTTTGTTTAGGGTAACATGAACAAAACTGAGCCTGGGTGGTGGAGTAGGAGGGTGAGCAGATGGTGTATGAAAAAGAATCAAGAAGAAAGAAGTTTAAATAACTGATTAAAGTTTATTACATTAAAACCATATATCACTTTTATACTGCATTTGCCATTTCTGAACAATACAAAGTAGAGGCAAATAGTGACACTTCATAAAAATGTTGACTCCCCATTCCTTTCCGTAAGACCCACCCAGCCCTCCCTCAAATATTCCCTCCCACCCCTTACAGAACTCTGCCCATAATAAAACACTTAAATACATCATAAATAGTAAATTATGAAAAAAAAAATAGCAAGAACTGTTTCTTTCCTTCTTGTAAAAAAGAACATGGCAGCAAAGACAGGCAGCCAGAAACTGGCTGGGGGTGTCTAATATAGACAGTTATTTGGGGTATGAACTAACCTACTATCAGGGCAGGGTGGGACAGAGAAGGGATAGAACAGCAATTCAACAAGCTGCCTGAGATACCAGGCCCCCTTCTTCCCCTGATAAGAATAGAAGGATCAGATGGAAAACCGTAACTCTTGTAGATGGGGAGGAGAGGGCATATGTAGCCACCTTTTCCAACTTCCCTGCATGAAGACAGGGGGGTAGGACATACGGCACAGCAATGACCTCACCGAGGCAAGAATCTGCTGTCTTCCCATGAGTTTAAGAAAATATTTGCTGGCCTCGTAGATATGGACTGCCTGTTAAACAGACAGAGGTGTCCCCTCTTCAACTTAGCTCCACAAATAGGAGAACACTGTTGGAAAAGATGGGAAGAGCAAAAAAAAATCTCCTCTGGAGAATGATCTAATTCATTTGGTAAGTCTTTATATTTAAAAAAACAACCAGAATATACTCCAACTTGCAAAATAGTAATAATCATTATAGTCGGGCAGTGAATAGGATTCTGCCTAGAAAGGGCTATGATCTCCCAGCCCATGGCTGCCTCATGTTTTAACAAAAGGGGTAAAGAATACCCCACGTCCCTCTCTCTCCATTCCTTCAGCCTTAAGAAATTCATCAAGAGAGGACGAGTTTAGAGGAGCTGCTTCTGGCAGAGCAATCACTACTCTTCACAAATACCATGGCTCTTCTGAGGGAACCCTAAGAATAGGCATCTCGTCAACACTTATGGAGTTTTGATCTGAAACTGGCTTAAAGTTGTGTGCTGTGCGCTTTTTCCTTTTTTCAAAAAAAAAAAAAAAAAAAAAAAAAGTTGGGAGGTGGTTTAAATACCCTTATCCCCCAAAAACTTTTATAGAGATTACAGGAGTCTTCTTCCAGGGATCAGAGAGAAAGAACGAAGGCAAGGATAATGTGCTAGCTAGTCTGTCCTGAGGAAATTAAAGAGTCCAGTTCCTAGTGAAAGAAGAAGGGAAAGAAAACTGCCATGTCTAGCAATCCCATTTCCAGCATGAAGAATAGGGGTCTGAAAAAAATTCAATTGTGGAAGCCAAGGTTAGCCAGTTGAAAATCCGTGCTACCCAACTCTGGAGTGGAGGGGATGCTGCGGTCCTCAACTGCCTGAGGCACCAATGCCCATTCATGAGGAAGGGGAAGGAGAGGAGGTTCTTCTTCAGGAAGAAAATGGAGAGCTCCCCTCGCTTCTATTACACTCATTTTTTGATGACCAAGTAGAAGAAAATTCAACATTGGTGGGGCAAAGGCTGACATCTTGGGATCACAGAGATGACAGAATCTCGTTCCAGGTCTTCTGAGGCTTTGCACTTACTGAAAAGGAGAGAGTGTAAAGTTAAGAAAGTGGAGTATGAGATAAGGCAGGAATGGAATTCAAGCATTAAAAAGTCTATTTCAGCCTTAGCCTCCAAATACGAGGTACCAAAAACACGGAGGTACCCAAATCTCTAACCTTGCTAATTAACTTCTGGCTCCAGGCCATCAGTGATCGTCTTTATACCCTCCAAAACTTTCACCTCCCACACATCCCAGACACTCACATGGGTGAACTCTGACTCTGCAATTTCAAGCTTTTCCAAGGTTGTACTAACAGGAGAAAAAAATAGGAGCAGAGAGAAAAAGAATTAGAAGACAAGAAGAAAGGACTCTCCTCTTAAAATCTCATACTGCTTCTCTAATTTTCACACCAGAATCAATTTGGGGAATTTGGAAACAAGAGGCTAAGAGACTACTACATTTAGAAGCACACTGTTTTAATTAGCTATATTTAGCTTCTTGAATACTGTATTTCCCAGTACCCTGCCCTCTTCTGTTTCAATCTCCAGGTGTGGTAGGTACCCCCAAGATTGCCCCCAATAATCCCCACCTCCTGAGGTTCATGCCATTGTGTAATTCTCTCTCCTCTCAAGCGTGGGCTGCACTTAGCGATTCTTTTCTCATGAACAGAATGCAGCACAGGTGATGGAATGTCCATTTCGAGATTAGGTTACAAAAAGACTGTAGCTTCTTCTTGGACTCATGTTCTCGCCCCCTGCTTGCCTGCTCATAGCAGCTATGAGCTGGCTATGCATAAGGCGATGTGACAAGGAACCATATACTGCCAACAACTATGTAGGTGAGCTGAGAAGCTGATCTTCCCTCAGATAAGCTTTGGGACCAACAGCTTGACTGTAATCTCCAGAGAGAACCCAAACCAAAGGCATCCAGCTAAGGTACAGAAACTGAGATAACACATTTTTACTTTTTTTTGAAACAGATCTCACTCTTGTTGCCCAGGCTGTAGTGCAATGGTACGATCTTAGCTCACTGCAACCTCCACCTCCTGGGTTCAAGTGATTCTCCCACCTAGCCTCCTGAGTAGCTGGCATTAAAGACATGTGCCAAAACGCCCAGCAATTTTTCTATTTTTAGTAGAGACAGGGTTTCACCATGTTAGCCAGGCTGGTCTCGAACTCCTGACCTCAGGTGATCGACCCTCCTCAGCCTCCCAAAGAGCTGGGATTACAGGTGTGAGCCACCACGCCCAGGTTGAGATAAATGTGTTTTCAACAGCTAAGTATGGGGCTAATTAGTTACACAAAAATAGGTTAAATATAGATTTTTGTACCTGGAATTCAGGTGCTGCTGTAACAAAAATCTAAAATTTGGGGGTGGTAGCCTGGTACAGTGGGCTCATGCCTGTAATCCCAGCACTTCGGGAGCCTGAGCAGGAAGATCAACTGAGGCCAGGAGTTCAAGACCAGCCTGAGTAACATCGCGAAACCCCGTCTCTACAAAAAATACAAAAATTAGCCAGGTGTAGGCCGGGTGCGGTGGCTCAAGCCTGTAATCCCAGCACTTTGGGAGGCCGAGGCGGGTGGATCACAAGGTCAAGAGATTGAGACCATCCTGGTCAGCATGGTGAAACCCCATCTCTACTAAAAATGCAAAAAATTAGCTGGGCATGGTGGCGCGTGCCTGTAATCCCAGCTACTCAGGAGGCTGAGGCAGGAGAATTGCCTGAACCCAGGAGGCGGAGGTTGCGGTGAGCCGATATCGCGCCATTGCACTCCAGCCTGGGTAACATGAGTGAAACTCCATCTCAAAAAAAATAAAAATAAAAAGCACTGGGACTACTGGTAAGAGCCACCACGCCCAGCCTGACAGCTTTCATGATTTAATTATTAATAGTGAACCTGTAAGGCTAAACATAGGATTATCTTTTGCTCCTCCTACTCCCTCAAGAAAAGTATATTAATCTCCTCTGGTTAGTCTTTATTGAATTTTATTTATTTATTTATTTATTTAGGAGTCTTGCTTTGTCACCAGGCTGGAGTGCAGTGGCATAATCTTGGCTCACTGCAACCTCCAACTCCCTGGTTCAAGCAATTCTCCTGCCTCAGCCTCCTGAGTAGCTGGGATTACAGGCATGCGCCACCATACCAGCTAATTTTTGTATTTTTAATAGAGACGGGGTTTCACCATGTTGGCCAGGATGGTCTCAATCTCCTGGCCTCGTGATCCGTCCACCTTGGCCTCCCAAAGAGCTGGGATTACAGGTGTGAGCCACTGAACCCAGCCCAGATAGTCTTTATTTTTTTTTGAGATGGAGTCTTGCTCTGCTGCCAGGCTGGAGTGCAGCAGCGTGATGGTTAATCTTTATTTATATCCCCTTAGCTTTCTCTCATTTCAGTAAATACAGTTTTCCCAAGTCCCACTGCCTAGCCCACGAGACTGTCTGTTCTTTCCACGTATGTCTCCATGAAGAGAACACTACCTTCTCAAAGGAACAAGGAATACATGTGCTGTGCTGTGAAGGTTCCACAATGAGGGTCTGGTAAAGTACACTTGGTGACAGAACAGATCTGTGGCAGGACCTTATACAACTAGCTTCAATTCAGTTAAACATTTACTGAGGCTGGGCATGGTGGCTCACACCTGTAATTTTGGCACTTTAAGAGGTCGAGATGGGTGGATCACAATGTCAGGAGTTCGAGACCAGCCTGACCAACATGGTGAAACCCCATCTCTACTAAAAATACAAAAATTAGCTGGGCACAGTAGAGCATGCCTATAGTCCCAGCTACTGGGGAGGCTGAGACAAGAGAATCACTTGAACCCAGGGGCAGAGGTTGCAGTGACCCGAGATCGCGCCACTGCACTCCAGCCCGGGCAACAGAGCAAGACTCAGTCTTGGGGAAANAAAAAAAAAAAAAAGGGGTGGCTTGGAGGAGCATTTTAGTGAAAACTTATTGTCCTGAATATGCTGTTTATAGAATTTTGGACTTAAAGAGGGTTGCCGGTGAGGGCTTAAAGTGAGAAAAATGTTATTGCAAACTGAAGAAAAGGAGATCCCAGTAAGGCAGCAGCACAAGGTTTAACAATGTCATTTGTGATTATGTGAAAAGTAGAATATGTGCCTCATGAATTGGACAGTCTAGCTAAGGAGATTTCCAAGCAAAGTCGTGCAGGTGCCACCTGGTTTTCTATTAATGCTTATAGTAAAATATAAGAGACCAGGCACGGTAGCTCAAGCCTGTAATCCCAGCATTTTGGGAGGCAGAGGCGGGCAACTCATGAGGTCAGGAGTTCAAGACCAGCTTGGCCAACATAGTGAAATCCTGTCTCTACTAAGAATACAAAAATTAGCCAGATGTGGTGGTGCACGCCTATAGTCCCAGCTACTCGGGAGGCAGAGGCAGGAGAATTGCTTGAACCCAGGAGGTGGAGGTTGCAGTGAGCTAAGATCATGCCACTGCACTCCAGCCTGGGTGATAGAGTAAGACTCTGTCGGAAGAAAAGAAAAGAGAAAAAAAGGAAAGAAATTATGGGAAGGACTATTAAACAAAAAGATTCCAGAACGTGATAGGTCTTGAAAATTCTCCAGAGAACATATGATGCTAAAATTAAGAAATGGCAGGCCACATACGGTGGCTCACTTCAGGAGGCACAGGGAGGAGGACTGTTTGAGACCAGCCTGGTTAATACAAGGAGACATCATATCTACCAAAAAAAAAAAAAAAAGGCTTTTGAGCAAGGATAAGCTCCAGGGCACTGCCAAGAAAATGTGGTCTAAAGACGAAGCCAAATATATGACTATGAAACATTTCATTAAGACCTCAGAAAAACAAAAAGCAGTGGTTCAGAGTATAGTCATCCCTTAGTATCTGTGGGAGACTAGTTCCAGGATCTCCTCTTGAATACCAAAATCCACAGATGCACAAGTCCCTTATATAGAATGGTATGGTATTTGCAAATAACTTATGGACATCTTCCATATACTTTATTTTTATTTATTTATATATTGAGATAGGGTCTTGCTCTGTCAACTAGGTTGGAGTCCACGGGTTCAATTTTGGCTCACTGAAACCTCTGCCTCCCAGTTCAAGCATTCCTCCTGCCTCAGCCTCCCGAGCAGGTGGGGCTACAGGCACGTACCACCGAGCCAGGCTAATTTTTTTGTATTTTTGGTAGCGACGGGGTTTTGCCATGTTGCTCTTAGGCTGGTCTTAAACTTCTGGGCTCAAGTGATCTGGCCTCAGTCTCCCAAAGTGCTGGGATTACAGGCATGAGCCATTGCAATCAGCCCTCCATATATTTTAAATCATCCCTAGATTATTCATAATAACTAATACAATGTAAATGCTGGTAAATAGTTGTTATACTGTATTGTTCAGGGAATAATGACAAGAAAAGTCCATATATGTTAAGTACAGACACAACCACTGTAGGCCTAATTGTATAGTACATGTCAGAAATAACATACAAGAATTTTTTTTGAGACAGAGTCTCACTCTGTTGCCCAGACTGGAGTGCGGTGGTGCAATCTCAGCTCACTGCAACCTTTGCCTCCCAGGTTCAAGCCATACTTCTGCCTCAGCCTCCCGAGTAACTGGGACCACAGGCATGTGCCACTACGCCTGGCTAATTTTCTGTATCTAGTAGAGACGGGGTTTCACCGTGTTAGCCAGGATGGTTCCAATCTCCTGATCTTGTGATCCGCCTGCCTCGGCCTCCCAAAGTGCTGGGATAACAGGTGTGAGCCACTGTGCCTGCCTTTTCTAAGGGACAGAGTCTCGTTGTATTTACCAGGCTGGTCTCAAACAGCCTCAAGCAATCCTCCCACCTCAGCCTCCCAAAGTGGTGGGATTACAGGCATGAGCCACCACACCAGGCTCTCAAGTGTTTTCAGTTCACAGTTGGTTGAATCTGGAATGTGGAACCTGTGGATACAGAGTATGACTGTACTATTCAGCCATACAAAAGGCTGTTCAAAAAGATTATGTTCCACAGATTCTTTCAAGTGAAAAACAGGGTCTCTAAGAGGCTTAGGTCTCTAGACCGGGCGCGGCGGCTCAAGCCTGTAATCCCAGCACTTTGGGAGGCCAAGGCGGGTGGATCACGAGGTCAAGAGATCGAGACCATCCTGGTCAACATGGTGAAACCCCGTCTCTAC